TATCCGCTTCGCGCCAYAGAAGAGGATCTTTGTGTACTTGATACATCACAAGTATTTTAAAAGTCTTACAAATGCTGCACACCCATTCGCGGTCTGCTGTCGATGTCTTTATAAGATCAGAAGAAAAGAGAAATTGCAAAATGGATGTCGGATATAGCTGCAATCAAAGGATTACTTTAGAATTCTTTATTTTATTTTCTATCTAGATTCATTTGACATCTGCAGCAATTATCATTTTCTCGATGACAACACACGGTTGGCAACGAGTTCTGTACCATACGTCAATGATGACAGCAACYTCAATGAGACCATGTGGTAYGTCTTCAAGAGTACTAAAGGGTTCTCTCGTATACCGTCAACCTGTGTGGCCCAGAATCACTGTGGAGCTACAGCCCCAGGTTATATGCAAGGAGCTTTACCTACAGTCAGTGAGGGTATTGTAAAAAGAAAGRTTTGCTTTCATAATAACGGAGACTGTTGTCAGTACAGTGTGGATATCTATGTGCGCAACTGCTACATGTTCTATGTCTACAAACTGAAGAAGTTGGATTCATCTTGGAAGGCAAGATACTGCATTGAGGACTATATTAATGGTAAGACATTGCTKATTGAAAACAATTTATAACTTAYATATGCTATTTGAATTTTGAAAACAAATTTTGAAAATCTGTCGTTTGGGGCAGATTCAGTATASTGCAAACCCGGGAGGGTACTCCCTCCAAACWTGGRTGGRGGTGTGCCGCTGGAACYCCAAAACCCTGACCCTGTTCCACAGTGAAATCGCTGAAAACTATAACCTGTTCYAGAGTAAAWTYGMTGAAAACTAYACCTTGTTCCAGAGTAGAACCACTGAAAACGATACTCTGCTGTAGCTGTTAAATATAATTACTTCACGGAATTTATTCTTTSTGCAGAGAACCCCRCCAAGATGTTTCAAWTTCACAGTGGACGACCATCTTTCACCATYCCGAATCAKTTCATCACAAGTCGACTTCATGGCGTAGACAGCGATTCAACTTGCATGCAATATTGTATGATCGATGACTCCTGCAAATCGTTCAGTTACAATCCAAATATATACATTTGTGAGCTAATCAACGCCACTAARAACCAATTCTCAAATCAAGAGCTACCTTTTCGYCCGGATTACAGACATTTTGATGAAGTCAAATGATTTCTGATCTTTTATATTTTTCAACCCAGCAGCCATATGCACACAACRCACCATAAATTAGCTTTTCAATGTCTTTTCAATGGCAGATCCAGGATGTTTCAAAATAGGATCTTCAAACTGGGAATGTAACAGTTGCCTGAATGCAAATTGTAAAACTTGTCTCAAAACAAAACAGTCGACCCCGTAGCACTATTCCTTAGAGCCACCACTGCATTTCCTTTGGGATCCACTCACGGTCAGCCATTCAAACATGTTCAAAGGACTAGAAGGATTTGGGAATTGGCTAAGAATGTATGGACCATGTTGTTTAGGATGTGTGCTTTGGGATGAGCTCCTTTCTACTGAGTCGCTTTTAAAAATCTGTAGGGGGACTGGGTTTGAGCGGACCCATGCTTGGGATGGGGATGCCAGGGTAGAAATTCGCGTGTCGAGAGAAGTAATTGGAAAGAGTAGACTGTAGAAGAGTACGTAGGCTACAGAGATGAGTCGTTTCGTTTTGTATATATGGTATTGTTCTTCAAAGATACTACCAAACTTTGCTGCTATGGGAATCAGGTATCTTCTTAAATATTGTAGATAGATAAACTAATCCCACACACAATAAAATCAACAGTAACAAAARAAAATCTTTAAATCTTTTGAATTAATTAGTACATTAAATCCAGACTRGTCCATTATAAGAGACKGTGATTTGTGTGAATTTCCCAAAAAAAAGTTCCAAACTGTGTTCAGATTTTTCCTTCTGATTTTCCACTGTATCACGCCTGTTTTCTATCATTGGTTTCCTCGTYGGCTGGATATTGAAGCGAAAGGTGATTCTGCTTTCCTTTTTTGKGACTTATTTCTAATAAAAGTAAACTTCAAAATCYTTTTCGAAGTACAGAAAATGACATCGAACGCACGAGCAAAGACCGCTCTTGCGATTACACCATCGGTTACTTTCCGTCCAATCTTTGGTGGATCGRAAGTGCTCGAGATTGTTTCGGCCTGACTTTTTTATAGAAGAAATGTATGAGTTTCTAGGTGTTCGGGCTGTGTATTCGGACTACTGTCGGATTGAATTAATCAGCCTGGAAGGTGGATGGATTGAGAATGCAAGTACTAAATTGTACTTATTCATACATTTAGCATGCACATGAAGAGTGATTTAGCTATTCACCTAAAAGACATTGTTTTGAGCATTGAATAAAATGAATATTTTAATAAACTTCATGAATTTAGGTTTTTACAACACGGTCTCCAGAAAAAATAGCCGTCGATCCTCACTTTGAGAGTCGCATCCTTGGCTGTAAACACAGATCGATAGTCTTTCATGTTCTTCGATAAAAATACTTCCAATTATCTGTTTTTCCTCAGTATAACACTTTTGGCATTCCTTAAATGAGCCCTTTGTCATTGCAGAACCTGTATAAGTTAGTATATAATTCGCTTGTTTGATAGATTCATGATTGGCGGATTCACGATAAATTCGTGGTATCTCTTCAAATGCCCTTTCGGAAAACGCTCAACATCTTTTAGTGTTGCTAATTGCTATACCGCGAATAGTGTGTGGAATTGTAAGAGATTTGAGCGTATTTGTAGAAGCTAGATCCGTTTGTATGCAAACTGTCCGAAGTAAGCACGAGGTGAGCTTAGAATCGTTGCTTAGTAACATGAATGACAATAAGACAATAGATGTCAAAATAGAAAAGATCCCGGGATATACCACTTTGAAGCATATGACAGAACACAAAAAGTCGTCTGTAATTTTAGACATAGTCTTCCTTTGGAAGCCAATGTAATGAGCAATTCTAAAAATAGCACCAAGAGGGATAAATGCCGTTCTAACAACCTATTTTAATAGGTTAAAAGAAGAGGAAGGCTCCTATTAATGGGCTCCTGCTGAAGCAACACAATGCTACCGAGTTAACGTCTCACACTCCTGCGTCCAYCAAAACGAATATCTCCCAGGTCCTCCGAATCGTTGCTGTAAGAGATCCACGACGCGAATGGTGTCAATGTCCTGCGTCCTRGGATCTGTAYGAATTTGGCCGTAGTCACTAAAGAGAAGTAAAGCATCAACTAAGCCCAAGTTTACTCCCTGCGCTAACAGATCTGGAGCTGGCGAGAACATATGTACAGCACTTTTTAAGCCAGTGCGAGTTCCTCCCCGACAGGCGCTAAAGACAGGCATCGTGAAAGACTACCAGGTTGTAGACGCATTAGGACCCTCCTATACCAACTATGAAAACGAACTTTCCCCACCATCCCCATACGTATCTAGGAAGATACGATCAACTCTGCAAGGATCGTTACTCATTGACCTTAGAAACACTGTAATTGGCGACACTCTCTATGCACCACAAGTTACAACAAACTGCACGTCTCAGGCTGTTTCAGTGAAATGCTGCGTTGCGCCCAGTCTAAATGGCTATCTTCTAAGAAACACTATCTAGCGCTGCAGCAACAAAACACTAGTATCAGACCCTTTAATAACCAGTCTAGCACGAATGCCAGCAATAGCAAGCTCCGTTTAGGACTTTGAAAACCAATACACATATAGAGACGTGCTCTCAGATAGCCCAAGAGTATCCACCTTCCTATAAGTCGTCAGCCCGTCGGATACTTAGCTGGATCAGCAAACGTTCCSGGCCGGCYCAAATTTTCCCAGAGCAGTCGCAGCGCTTATCTTCCAAATGAGGTCGAATCATGCCAAATATGTTACCACTCCGTGGTCACAAACCGCCAGCAGAAAACGGTTATGCAACATCAAAACTTCCACATTGCCTGAAATCCCGAACCGATATGGTTGGTCTATTGCTTTCAGAAATTTGCACACTGTCGAGTGCAAGAAATGTATAGACCTTATTTTCTTAGATTGTGTGCTTTATATATTTATGAAGACTGCYTTCCCCAACCTTAGTTACATACTTCTTATGATCGATCACAGAGAAAGTATTATAGAGACTCATATACCTTGCTATTTCTAAACAYTTGGCGTTAGAAATAAAGGGTGTATATCCCTAGGCCTCTTACCGCGTAACCTCGATTGAAGCCTCGAACATCATTCAAAACAATTAGTAAAATATTTTCAATAATCACCACGCTAACACTATTGAAGCACTGAATTGTGTCACTGTTTTTTGGAGTTCTTGACTCCGCCATCATCGAAGCCCATTATCGAAGGGAAAACCCCTCCCGTCRCGTGATATCATAGTCCAATTAAATCATAAACGGTGGAAAACAATTGTGTTATTAACGTGTCAAAAAGTCATACATAATTAGCTCCGCCCCAGTTTTTTTGACATTTATCATACATATATTGGTATTGAGAGTTTTAAAACTTTAAAGGAGCCGTCCCAGGGCTTTTTAGTCTTTTGATCCGGATCAACAGCAAAAAAAAAAAAAATATTTAACAATTAGACCTCGAGGTCGAGTGGACTACGAGCTAATAGCCCATGAGGCCGAGTCCGCGAGGCCGAATGGGCTATTAGCTCGTAGTCCACGAGGCCGAGAGGTCTAATTGTTTTAGTATAAACATACTAATAGGTCAAATAATGAAAACAAATTGAAATATCCTTAAAATAATTTATAATTTATTTATTTTGATTTTCCCGCAAGTCTGGTCTATCACAAATTAGACCATTAGTAGAGTAGCCAATCACAGCACAGTATTAGTGATAGACCATTAGTATGTTTATACTAAACCTCGTTATATTACTAGCTGTTGCGGTGTAAATTAAGACTATGCACGTATGCGTCACCGATTGTTATGACAGCTCATGCACTATTAATGTGTTTTTTCAGGTTATTTACATATTTTTAACCAAGCTTAGTAAGCCTCGGCTATAGAGCGTGTTCAACCTGTAAATACTGATGTCATTTAGTGAGAAATAAGCAAGTTTAAAAGTATTTGGGTTACAATTTCCTGGCTCTATTAGAGTTACACCACTATTATTCCAGGTTTTTTCGACACTAGTTTGACATCATTTTTCCAGTTTTTTGGCGTTTTTTGGCATTTATGTGCAAATTATCTTAATYAAGATCACTCAAGTAAAATATTACTGACTTGTGTCGAGCGTGCGTTTTCGTTGCCATCATGTTATTCAGCATGTTAAAACACCTGCCTGAGAGGACATCACAATTAGTAAAGCCAAAAGGTGAGGACTAATTTCACAATTTAGACGCTGATATCTCAAATATAACAATCTGCCAATATGATTATTATCATTAGGCATTATCCACTACAGTAAATATCTATATTTCCTTTTTTTTTTTTAGTGCTTGATAGTCCTATCAATTCCTAATGTGAAATCTTGCGTTGTTGTATAAAGAACTCTAGCGTTGTAAGAAGAACAGTTTAGTTTTAAAATTCTTCAAGAAGTCGTTAATTATATTCAAAACTACACATTATACACGCACGATAYAAACTAAAAATGTGTATTATTCTTTAGATTCTTCTGTTATCATTAATTAAAACAGCCACGCATGCAGAGTCACTAGAAACTTCGTCTAATTTAAGCACTCAGATGTCAAGACGTAACTTGCTGGATATTCAAGCTGATGARGAATGATGTKGAAAATCGTCGGTGTGATGGTAGTTTTTCAGGTATATAGCAAACGCTATTCTTCCTTAAAGTTGTGCTTTATTGATATCCAGAGATATGTATYCAAAAAAGCAATGCTGATATAGGAAAAAAACCCTAAGTTTTTAAAAACATACCTTAAATAATATATCCATCAAAGAATTATATAATCACAGATTTTTCACGAACCCCACTGACTATTCAAGCACATACAACATATAATACACCACTATGTAGAATTTTTGTCTGATCCTTACTTCTTTCATAACAAAATTCTAAAAATCAAGATTTAAATTTTACATGTATTTTTGGTCTTCTCATGGTGTATATTATCCTTTCAGATAATTAATATTTTTCGTCCTTTAATTAATATTTCCCTGGTTACTTGAGACCAAAAACTTAGCAGCCTTCTCTTCCATATACAATTATTTTAAACTTATTAAACCTTGTTGGACATCAGGAACAGAGATTGAGGGGTYGAGGTTTGAAGAGTTATACTAGTACTAAAATTATTGTAATAAAGTTTTTTTTCACTGGCTTTGTTTTCAGTTTACAGTTGTAGTCAAAGCAAACGATGAAGGTACGTTTCTATTATTGGATCTATACAATTACTTACAAGAACATCCATAGAAATTCAATTCATAAATGGAGTAGGATATATCCAAAGGAGGAGCAATTTCACAATGCAAGTGGTAGCTTTCCTTCAAATAATATTTCTTTGATTCTTATGCAAATAATCTTCAAGCGTTGTTTCTTTAAGTTTGATAGACATCAAGGAGTTCATTATCGATCGCGCTCCAGTAATAAGGCATATCACATCCCGCACGCGTCTTTTAGCCGCCATGTTTTCATGTCGTTATTAAAAAAATTATACTATTAAAGACGAAATTCGAAAAATAAACTTTCRAGATTCCTCTCCTAAACACAAATCAACTCCGAACAACTCTAAGCAGTCTGAGAAGGAGCATGTAAGTGAGGGAAGGACCAAATGACGGTAGCGTTCGACAGTTGGATTCATTTCGCATACAGTAGAAACCCACATAAAAGAACCTACATTTTTGGGAAGTACAATAAACAGGTTCTTATATAAATGGTAGTTAAGGGTATACTGACATATACGTTGCTAGGGAAATTCAGTAGAAGTTCTCTAAAATGACTAAAAAATGTAAAATCGCTTTCGTATTGGGTATTTAGCCTTCCTCAAGAAAAATAACGCATTCCATGACGTCATTGCGTCATAAATACGGAAAAAGGCTATGATTTCATCAAGCAAAGTATATTAAACGAAAAAGTATATTAAAGCCAAGCATGCGTTATTAGAATGATTTCCAAATATAAGCTTTTTATGATTTTTTAAATGCCACAAAGACGCGAAAAATGCCAATAACTTTCGTATTTTTTAACTTTTTGCTAAACCCATGCTTGGTTCTGAAGAGGAGGCTGTGAAGAACATTAATATTGAAAAAAACACGTCCATTTGATGTTTCGCGCCGAAGATTATAGCTTTTAAATGAAACCATACATTTTATGTAAAYAAAAACTATCTACCGGAAGTAAAAGTTTTCCCTCCATGAAAACGCGCGCGCGCCTGCTCCTCCGCCCGCTCGCCGGGCTWGCATCATAGCAGCCAGGTCGTCTAGAAATGGACATGTAAGTAAAACTTAGCTTCAAAAGAAGATGTTAATTTCCCTATTTCCTGTTTCCTGACGCCGYCCCCAGCCCCACCATTCATTTTTAAAGCACTCAGTAGTATACAATAGTAATTATAAACAAAAGAAAACAATGTCTTGCAATTTTTTTTTTGTTAAAATAAATCATTTTGCAGTAAAATGAAAGTCTGCTTTTTCTCCAAATGGGAATCTACTTGCTCTGCAGTCGTATTACGACTAATATGATATTAAAAATTAATGAACCTGTTTTCAATTTCAGTCTAAATAGGTTTAGACTGAAATTGTTTATAGGGGGTATAAAATCCAAATTTTAGGCTAACAGGCTCTTAATTCTTAGGTTCTTATTTACGGGTTTCTACTGTATTTATGAAAATTGCACCAAAACTCTTTGTTTTCTTCAACTTTTTTTGAAAAATAACAATTAATTGTCTTTTCATATTTTTTTYAGATTGTAACGAGCCCCTTGTCCTTCCTGGTAATGTAACCTTGACGTCAACGACATCAAGAAATCCCTCTGCAAGCTTTGGACCTCAACAAGCCTTACTCCACAATACGCATGCTTGGTGTGCTAGTTTATCTAATGCTGACCAGTACCTTGTGATAGACATGGGGCTCGTCAAGATGATCAAGTCAATAGCAATACAAGGGAATCCAAACAATGACGAGTTTGTCAAGACATTCAGTGTTTCGTATGCAGTTCTTGAGGGTCAGTGGTTAACATATACGGAAATAGGAGCTAGACGTACAGTAAGTTTGTCACGTTCTACAGTCTTATTATCAAGAATTGGCATCATGTATGTATAAGTGGCCACTTTGATAGAGATTGTGTTTATTCTGATCTATTCTTCTTTCTGGAGTAATTTCGTTTTATAATAAATGAGAATAAAGATTTTGAAAATTTTGTCCGATAAAATGGCGAATGCCAATTGTTAAACAGCGATTGAACGATCGAAAGTAGCCATGGATTTTGCTTTTTGAACAAAGTCTATGGTAAACATTGGTCCCATTTAGCCTCCATTTCTATGCAAGGATAAAACCACAAGGGAAAGTTTTGTTTATCAAAATAGCCTAACTATAGTCAATACAATCTCMCTTCGACAGCCGCCTTTCTCCCCACTTCACCACCGTTTTATGAAATAGGTAATGCATGGCAATTATCGAACGGAGAGGTTGCACGACCGAAAGGAGCCCTGGGTTTTGCTAAATATAAAAAGGCAGAATTAGTCTATTTTAAACACTGGCTCCATTTAGTCTCGATTTTCACACAAGGTGTGAACTCGACAAGTGACGTAAATTTGTATATCAAAGTGCAAATTCAAAAAAACGTTGAATAGTGTATACTGTATTCTGTATAGTGCATACCGAGGCTGCAATTGCTGCTCTTAAACGTTAGCTACCTCACAAAATSACAATTCTAAACCTTAATTACTTTCCATTGAATRTTTTGCCTTTATGGAGCTGRTAAAATCACTCTGAAATCACGAAAATCCTTTTGAACGACGATAAAATGACCAACAATGCATTTCAGTCTTGGATTACACTATCTTCAGTATTCAACGTTTTCTGAAATAACTGTTATATGCTCATTTTTTTATAAAAGCGCCACTGTATCTATGCCACTGTAAACACACTATGACCTCCTGAATTAGTTCATAGGAAACTCAAATGGAGGAGAAACGACCGAGCAAGTTTTCAAGAACATCTTCGCTGCTCGCTATGTCCGCATCGTGGCAGAAAGCTGGTACAACCACGTATGTGCAAGAGTGCAGTTATTTGGATGTGACGCAAGTATGATTGATACTAAATTAGAACTATGAATTYAAGTCAACTTCATATGTAATCTTTGTGATCAAATATACGTTTTCCCGTCTATATTCAGCTTTTCAAAGAAATTGTCATCGTGAAGGATGTGGCTTAAAAAAGGCGGAAAAAAATGTGAAAGCCTTTTCATGAGATTTATTCTTTGACTGATCTGACAGTTTGTCTTGTCCCCGGGGGGGGGGGGACCTCCCTAATATCAAAGGGCCGGCGGGGGTCCTGGCGAAATTATGAAAATGACCCCTAAGAGGGACCTGTATTTGGAGATGATGGGCGTGGCAGTGCTGAAATTTCAGCCCTAAAAGGGACCAATAATCTCGTCTATTAAGGAGTGTTAAGTGACAAGACGTGAAATTAATAAAATAAAATCAATTATCTAATTAGCAGCTGTGGTTTTTGATSTCGTAATGACGGCTCAGGGACGTCATATACCCTAAAAGGGACTACAAAACTCAGTTGGTGGGAATTCTCGTCATTATCACCCTAAGCGGGACCAAAATACCGRTTTCAAACCCTAAGAGGGACGCCGAGGACCCCCGCCCTTTGCCCTTTCCGAGGACTGGGAATGATGAGTGGAGAAATACCGGACGGCGCAATAACAGCACCTAGTATCTGGCATGGTGGTGGCCACGAACCCTATAAAGGACGTCTTTACTGGACAAAGTACGCTAATTTACAGCTATGGGCTGCAAATTCATTAAATACCGATCAATGGCTACAGATAGATTTAAGTCGTCTTGAGTTTGTAACCGCAATTGCAACGCAAGGACGTCACGGTGGCGGTCAATGGGTGCAAAGCTATTGGTTCTCCTATGGTACTGATGGGACGACTTTTATTGCTTATAAGGAAAACAATGTAAAAAAGGTTGTGCTTTTGTTTCTTTTAGCAGAATTAGTATGCAATCATAACAACAGTGCTTTTGTCGTACTATGTGTCTTTGATGTGCTCCAACATGCAATCCCTATCGTTATCATCAGTTGCGGATCCAGGGGAGGTGCTTTGACGACTTATTTTTTAATATATCAGTATAAACGTTGTTTTCTGCTGTTTATACTCCTGTTGTACTTTAATCGAGAAAACGAGCAGCATACACAACATGTATCTGTCACTATGCTGCTTAATGAACAGTTGATTTGGGTAATGTAGTCAAAGATACGTTGCAATAAACACTAAACATTTATTTTATCATGTTGACATSTAAAAACGCACGGTAATATAATAACATACGTTCTTTCTTATGTMTAGGTTTTCACAGGTAATTCAGATGGCCATACAGTGGTTAGACATGCKCTTTCACCAGTTATTTACACTCGCTTTGTAAGGTTCAATCCCCAGACGTGGTATAGCCACATTAGCATGAGAGCAGAGGTGTACTCGTATGGAAGAGGTTAGTCAATTAACAGTTTTCAATCATTCATGCCGATAGTCAAATATCATTTATTACTAAACGAGAGAGATAAACCATTACCATTCAAACAAACGTTAACAATAAACAAAAATAGAAGAGGGTTAAAGTTTGGAAAAAAGAATAGGCCATAATTTGATCAAAATATAACACCTCGCTAGCTAATTCTTTGGACGATGTTTAATTTTGAGCTACCTGTTAGCAAATGGTTTGATATTCCAACAATATTCATAGTTACTTCTAGCTATGTCAAATGCAGTAGATAGTTTGACGGCATGCATGAAATTTATACAATATAAGTCTTGAACGACTTTTGATACTTTTACAATGACTTTCATCGTGCCTGGATCGTATTCAAATACGACAGTCACAGACCCTTATAGGTGTACAACCCTTCGTTTATTTTTGTTATTTTCCGGTGAGAATGAAAAAAATTAGGTAAGTCAAATTCAGTCTCGCCTCAGTTTATTGTCAGTTAAATCCCACAACGGGTATTTCACGGACACACTATAATATATTGCTATGTATTATCTATTTTCCAGACTTTCCTGCCGACCTGGGAATAGAGAACAAAGAAATCCCAGATAGTCAAATCACAGCGTCATCAGAATACGATCATCTCCATGCAGCTCACATGGGAAGACTCAATAATCAGGTTGAGGGAGTACTTGCATGGTGCAGTAACCCCTCTAATTTAAATTCTAACCAGTGGATTCAATTCGACTTTGGTCACACAATGATTGTTACTGGTGTTGTCACGCAAGGAAGAGGGAATGGGGGGCTTCAATGGACGACCTTTTATAAGGTAATAGACCGGTGTCCAATGCCTTTTTAAAATTGCTTGTGTAAGCATGAGCTGAGCGGTAGACGACCAGTGTTTATGTTCCATTTCTGGTTCTTGKGTCCAATTTCGGACAGAATATATATATTTGGTTTTAATAGCTAAATTCATGGTGTTTTATCTCACCACTTGTCATTTTATTCGATTATCTTATTTGACTTCTCTAATTCCTTCATTTCAACTATCAATGTTTAGTATTACCATATGTGGCCACAGTCCATCCACTCACTCAAATAGAGTCCATAACATCTCATTTACTTCAAATAAACAATTACAATCAGTGTTACTATAAATGACGCGCGTGTCTCTGTCCTCTGATATACTGAACACGGTGGGAGTTCGAAAAACACGAGAGAAGCATGCTTAAAGGAACACGAGCGTAGCGAGTGTTTCTCTTGCTTCTCGAGTGTTTTTCAACTCCCACCGTGTTTATATCAGAGGACAGAGACACAAGCGGCCGTTTTATATTTCTTTTATAAAATTTTTCGAGCGAAAAGCAAATTTTGCCGGTAAGCCGTGTCTCTGTCCTATGATATAAACACGGTCGCCAGCCAATCAAAGCGCGCGTTATATATCGAAAATTACAATTACTCGTGTCTACACCATACTAGTGGACTATTGCAAATCTTTCCTACTAAATTAGTTAGACCTCTCAGCTCGTACTCCACTCGCCCCCGAGGTCTAATTGTTAAATATTTATATGACAATAAAATGTGAGATGATGCCTCAATGGTATTTACTTGGTCATAGGTACTTTACAGTCTTGACAACACTAACTGGGTATGGTACAAGGACGATGAACAAGGATCACAAGTWAAGGTATCTGGGAACTCTGGGCTTGCGTTGCCTACTCTACAATATAAATTCGATTATAGACCGAAACCTCAAAAACCCATTTTCTGCTTTGTGGAGAAGCAAGGTTAAGAATACTGCTAATCTCAGAGTGCAAGRAGTCATGTTCATAGGTTCATAAAGAAAGTGGGGTTTCTGGTTAATTAAAGTCCCAAGTGCATCCAAGAATCTTTGTGATCGCTCCTTTTGTTTTACAAACGATCTCGTGTTGAAAGGTGCTTTTTGATTGGTTCAAAATCGAAGATGGCGAATTTACGTGAGAATATCGCGCTAACGCTCTTGGATGCACGTGTGCCTTTGATATTTGCCTTTTGGTCTGAATATTTTGGCATTTCAATGATCAAGTGATGCCAACCCCAAGAATAGATCAATAAGTATTCGGAAATATTGTTCAGTTATGTTATTGTGAATTATCGGTATATATATTTTAAAGGTTTTTACTGGAAATTCAGATGGCATTTCGTATGTTACAAACACGTTCAATAGAGATGTCAAAGCAAGATCCATCAGGATAAACCCTACAGCTTGGCACAATTTTATTTCTTTAAGAGCATCAGTTATTGGTCGTCGAAAAGGTGAGCGGACTCAGTCCAATGGAAGTCTTCTGGTAACCCCAGAAAAGTTCTCGCACAATATGCCAGCGCAACAGTGACAAGCTCGAAGTGACAAGGTTTAACCGGAGTTGAAAGTGGCAGTTTTAAATAAAGTTTAAGGATAACAAATTTACAAAATACACGCAAAATAATTAAAATAAAATTCCAACCGGTTGCAAAGCCGTGTAAGGCTAATTTTARATTTGGTTTTGACCTCTATTGAGACGCTATAATCTTATTCTTTGAATTACGCCATCATAGCTCTCGTCTCGACTCATTATAACCAAGAAAGAAAATACAATTTTCGTCGATGTTCACACACTCTCGTACAAAGAGATGGTTATAAATTTTACCAAAGTGTAAAATTAGAATGAGTAAGCCTGTACTCTAAGTGCGACAGAATTTGCCAAAAAGGGATATCTATAACAGAATCGAAACTTAGCATTTTGTTTCTAATATTGTCCAAACTTTCGTTTCTGTACAGGAAAGTTGGGTTCTCCAGTGTTCACCAATCAAGAAGCCCCTWCGTATATCACTGTCTACAAGAACCAGGATGTTATATTAAAGTGTGAAGCAGTAGGTGACACACCCATCACTATCACATGGACACATAAAGGTCAGGTCCTTCAGAGTAAAACAAGCGATACACATCTCAACCTGACTAATGTGAATACGGCTCATGAGGGATTCTACAAGTGCAGCGCTACCAACAC